TGTGCCTTTGGTGGCAATGCCACAGCCCTATGCCTGTCATGTTGTAACCCAAGCTCCTGCTTCCCATTTCTGACTGGATTTTATCGCCCCATCTCCCAGTTGAATGGCACACAGGGTAACAGCAAGAAACTGTGGAACTTTGAAAGTAGAGAAAAGCCAGATACTCACACAGTGAAGGAATCGGGGGGAGCTGAGACTCTCCTCAGGTCAGCAGACTGCACTTTATGGATACTATAGGCAGCAGGAAATGAGTGGCCAGGAGAAAGGCAGCACACAGTGTGGACAGACAAGGAAAAAGGCAGGAGAGAGAGAGAGAGAGAAGAAGAGAAGAAAGACAGACATACAACTTTTAAACAGAAACAAAAGGAATGTGTCACATAAAAGTTGAATGAAGAGACATGCAGAGCTCTAAGTTCACACTAGGAAGCCAAGAGCAACAGAAGACATGCAAATGGAGAAAATCACTGCTACATGGTAGACAGGAGCTTTCTGAAGACATGGGTGAGGAGGACAAACAACAAGCTAGGCACACAACTTTACAGGGAAGACAAGGAGCCTCAGAATTCGTTCCACAGGCATTGAAAAATTTCAAGGCAGCAGACTTTGGAAGCAGGTCCAGAAATGCAAACAAACATCAAAGCCAAGATTTGAATGGATGGAATTCTCTTCAAAGGTTGGCCAACTTCAGTTAATGTTTAAGAAAAAAAGATAGCCTTACTGGAGATTTTGTATCCACACTGACAAATTGCTGTCTTCATTCTTCTTTCATGTACCTTAGGGAAACATGCGTTTTATATATAGTGACTCCCAAAACTGACTGTCTTCTAGTGTTTATACTCAGATGGTCCTTTTGTTTCTCTGAAGTGCAAAGAATATGGTTTATCTGCAAGCTCTTCCCTCTTCTTTGTCTTCCAGAGTGCAGGACATTCTTCCTCAATCCAAACTAAAAGCCAGTTCAGAAGTGATCATTAACTGAAACTTACTGAGCAGCTTATTAAACTGTAGTCTCCAATCCAAAAATTACTCCTGAAAAATTGAACCACAGCTTCTCGTCTTATTCCAGACATTTTTTGCTTATAGATCACAAGAACCACATTCCTGGCTTGATCACAGAAAAACAAGCTATGTGTTGTCTCTTTCACATGTTACCATGATCAGTAGTGAAGAACAGGAATAAGAACTTAACTGGCAAGTCTCCTAAGGGAGAATAAGAACTTAACTCACTCTTTTACAGAAAAACTGAGTCTGCTGATCTGCTTGTAGCAAAAATTTGCAAACAGAGAAGACATATGAGGAGAGAAGAAAAGAAATCCACCTTTTTTCCTCACAATCCCACTATCTGCCTTGTTTCAGTCCATAACCTTATTCTGCATATTCTTTGCACCTAAAAAGTCGATACTGGCTTGAAACACTTTATTGGACTGTTACTTATCTTAATCATAGAACATTGTAGGATGAGCAAGAGATTATGCCTGCCTTTTATGTTTGGACAGCCTCCAGTAGAAACAAATTAGAAGCACTGTAACTGTATTCACCAAGTAGTGACTTTCCTTCACTATGCTTTGACTAAAAATATTAAAGTTATCAGAAGAGTACAAGCCATAAACAGATCATCCTCAAGAGTACTCATAAGATCTGTACTCCACATCAAAACAGCTTAACTTTCTGAAAGGAAATAATTTTAAAAAAATAATGCTTGATGAACAGTAAGAAGATCACTAGTTGCAGCAAATAGTCCATTAATAGTTTGGGACAATTAACATACTGAGAAATTTGTCTGTAGGCAATTCGGCAGAGAAAGATGAAATAACTGAATGAAATATTAATTGCCAGTAATTCAACATGCTATGACAAAATGCAGCATGTTGTATTTACTTGTTCTCTAACAGCTTGTATGAAGCTCTTCATGCTGCTGCCAGAAAATAGTAACCTTTACACTGTCAAAAGTGCTGCTGAATACCTACCCCATACCTTAAAAAAGGCAAATTATTCCATAACAAATAACACAAGGACTCTTAACATATAGGAGTTTCATTCTCTCTTACAGTCAGAAGAGAATTATGTTTCTAAAGCCCTGCTGCTCCCAAGTGATAGAAGCATGAAATCTCTGTTCTTCTCACTCAGTTACACTACATATCTTCAATTTTAAGATACCATTATTCCCTGGAAACCCAAGTGCTTGCACAAGGCAAGCAACAAGCTCACTATCCTCTCTAAATCCCTGCTCCTTAAAACTTCCAGAACAAAGGAGAACAGAGTAAGAAAACAGAAATGCAGTGTAAGACTTCTTCAAATTAATTCTTTTTCTACTTATGACACTGGACTAGCTAAAACTCCAAAGAGCACTCCTACTGCTCTCCTTATCTTGCAATAATATCAAAGCTGACAATAATAGCAACTCTGTGTTACTGTCATGCAAGATAATTTTTTAATCACTTTCTTGGCAAGGAGCTCAAGAACAGCTGGCTAGCTAATAGCGGGATAGCTCCAGACCCACTTACTTATCTCACACATCTAACATTCAGACGACAGTCAAAAAGAGAATAATGTATCATGTTCAATCAAATATAAGGCTTTCTGGGAGTTTTCAATGGAATAAGGAGATACAGTCCAGCTCTCAAGTTAAGAAATGTAGATAAACATATTTAATTGAAATTTTTCTCTCTTGTGAAATATTGCAAATCAGCATCTTATTGAATGAACTTCTTACAATACTGAATGCTTCCTAGAGTTTAACTTTTAACATGCCACTTACTTTTTATCATGTCAGGAGATTCAACTCCTTCTTCTCATTCCCCAGCAACACTTGAGAGCAAAATACATGCACACACAGATCTATAGGTATAGACGTAGATATAAGTGTATACACACAGCATTTCTGATATGTGAGGCTGAGACTAGAGTTCCTGACAGATGATTTGTATTTTCACAAAACATAGGTCCGCAGGCAAATTTCTCAGCCAAATCAAAGGACTGACAGCAATGTAGTCTACCATAACACAGTGAAACCAAGAAAAACCACAAAAAAGATCCTCTTGACAACTGGCATATATTCTGAATCTGTATTTCCCTACCACAGTTTAAATTCAGATCTGAAAATCCAAGCCTAACCATGCTAATTACCAGATCAAAATACCAGGAATTTTCATTTCGCATTTGCATTAGCCTCCCTCAGTGCAGAAAAAGATGCTCCAGGATTGCTCTCTGCTTGATTCTAGCTTTTGCAAACAATTGAGATGTGGTTGGATGAAATTGGGCATTGCTGCCCACAGGCAAAAGCCTGGTATTCTTCACTGCTCAAGAAAGATGAGTATACCTCATATATTTTCCAGGCAAATAGGAAATGCACATTACAGATATGGGCTTCTACTGAAGCTTAAAGCATTAGTCTTCGGAAGAGACCACAGAGTGCTAAATTAAACAGGAAGATATTGAAAGTAACTGGAGAGGCTTTGATTACATGAACAGATTGACAACCAGCAGCTGACAAGAAGCTCTAAAGGGCTAGAGTCAAAGTTTGACACCAAGCAGTATCTTCCACTAGATGATACAGTTGAAAGACACAGACAACCTTTAAGACAAAAAAGCATGCCTGAGACCTTGCCTGTTTTTTCCAGTTGTGTGAGTTAGTCTAGTGAAAGATATTACAACTCTTCATAAACCATAAACCTTGCCTGACCATTACAGCTGCAACAGCAAAACCCCCACCCACCTGCCCGTAAAAATGAAAACTTTAGTGCATGGATCATAGAATCACAGAACAGTTTGGGTTAGAAGGAACCTTTAAGATCATCCAGTTCCAATCCCTCTGCCATTGGCAGCGACATCTTCCACCAGACCAGGTTGCTCAAAGCCCCATCCAACCTGACTTTGAATGTTTCCAGGGAGGGGTAATCCACAACTTCTCTGGGTAACCTGTTCCAGTGTCTCACTACCCTCATAGCAAATAATGTCTTCCTAATATCTAATCTGAATCATCTTCTTTCAGTTCAAAACCATTACCACTCATCGAATCACTATACTCACTGAAAAAGAGTCCCTCCCCACCTTTCCTGTGGGACCCCCTTTAAGTACTGCATGTTTGAATGAAGCAATGAAACATGAATGGATCATGTTCGAATGATCCTTGATAACTTTAGGCCTTTAGCTTGGTGTCTTTGTAGAGGGGTTTTGCTTTACTTAAAGAATAATTGACGTAAAACAGCAAAGACACTTACTATGTAACTCATTTTAGCAGTGATGAAGGCCTTCTATATGAGAAGTACAAAAATCAGTTCTACAGAATAATCTAAGTTACTTTATTGGATGGGCATTTCACGGGTTAAAATCTGAAAGCTTTTTTGTGTTAAAATATCTTTGCAGTACTTACAAATAAGGTTTAATTATGAAAAGGAATTTTAGTCCTGTCTTTTCTTTTTCACGTTTCTTTTTTCCAGCTATCTTAGTTTTTCTCTATTATTCTTTAGACTACTCATTTCTCATTTGGGTTTTTATACTGGAGCAGGATTTCCTACAAAGTGCAAACAGCCCTTTCTGGGCTTCCAGGTCCTTCTCCATAAATGCTCCCACAGCAGAGACTACAAGATGTCCTGAGTAATTCTTGATTATGGCCATTTGTTACAGGATCTCCAATGGAGCTTAAAAAGCAGATTGATAAAGTTGAGAAAAATGAATCAAAAGAATGTCAAAGGCAAATAGCATACATATGCAGAACTGTCAGAAGCCAAGAGGCACACTGCTGAGCCTGCACAAACCTCTCTAAATAACTGAAAGATACAACACCTTTCTAAAAGCAAGACAGAGAGTACTCCAGAAGATAAAAGAATAGAAGAAAAACAGGTAAGTATTTACAATACAGTGGAAAGGGAGTTCAGAAGGTGTGAAATTTTTATTTATTTTTTGTAAATGCATTGCAAGTCCAGTACATGCAAAATCCGTGACTGAATATGCTGCCCCAAATGGGCCTGCTGTCATCAGGACATGCACATAATCCAACTCACTCATTCAGCAAAGGCATGGATGTTCTCCTCTTGCTCTTCTGCACCATGTTGGCTTGGTTCCTTAAGGAGATTCGAATAAGTGAGGGAGCCAATCGACAGGGTTCTCCATCCACTTGCATGGGAATAGACTTGTATGTTAAAAGTGTCACCTCACGACACTGATGCAACCTCTCTCCATGACCACCCACCTGGAGAGCAGCCTGGAAAAAACAAACAAAAAACCCCACAGCAAAACAAAAGAAAAAAATCAAAACCAGAACCAAACAGGAAAGACAAAGAAACGACACATCAGTAATGATAGTTGTGGCAGTTAAATCCGAAATGCACTTTTGCTGACAGCATCCATTACACAGCATTCCACATGTAAGGCATTCTAATGAGTCACAATGAATGTATTTTCACCCCAAAACTGCCAAGCAGGACTTAAAATTTCACAAGGAAAAGTGGTGGGCAACAAGCAGATATCTAACCATATGCACTGCATGTCTCATCATCTTGGTATGTGTCAAGCATATTGCACACACATGTGCATGCACAAATGAATACCTCTTAATGTTTTCAATTGGTTTTGGCCCATTTGTTTTTACACTAAAAGTAATGCTACTAATTATTTGCTCTCTTAAACAACAACCCTAATTGGGTACATCTGCGAGACAGAAATGAGTTTCCCTTCCTGAAAAGAATACAGTCCTTAACGTGAATTAGATAAATCTAAAATCTTTAATGTGAAAGTTTAGACAGCAACTCAACTTTGAGACTAGACAGGCTGAAAAGAGCACACAGGAGGATGATATTAAAAACAAATATCATGTTCAAGAATTCATTTCAAAGAAATGAAACAAGGAAGGCAACGAGCAGATCCTTCAAGTTCTAAGCAGACATGTTTGGGCAGAAATGTATTTTTTCGATTCGTAGTGTGACTATTAACTCTAACCTATCAGATGCACAGAAAAATTCCTATATTAATGCACTACTAAGAGAAAGCAGCCTAAACACAAGTCAAGACCTGCTCTGTGCACTTAATATTATGGATCAACTGATAACATTCCTTGGTCTCACAAGACCTTTTTGGGTATGACCAAGCACATCTGAGAGACAGAGCAATTCAGGATTATAGCAACACAGTGCAGGGTTACAGCAGTTCCGCAGCATCACAACCAATGCAGTCCTGTAGACCCTCAGTTCTGAACTAGGCTTTCTTTAAAGAGAAACAGCAGCTCAAAAAGCCCTGCTACTTAAATTCAGTCCCAAATGAAATTGTTGTTAGCTTTGAGATCACTCTAGCTACTGTGAGTGCCTAGAGACATGTTAGTGGCAAATACCAAAGAGATTCCAGCTGAAAATTGCTAGTTGGTACATGCTTAATAGACTTTTGTCAACTTTTTCAGAAACATGCCGTAAAATCTTTAGAAGTGAAGAAACAAATGTTTATTACACAAGATCTAGAAGCTCTGCTTACTTGTAGGTTATTTCCCTAATCCACTAGAGATCCATTAAAAAAAAAGAAAGAGAGAGATGCCAAAAAAAGAATCCTTAACCCATACTTCCAAAGAAATGATTGCTGATCAAGGTGACCTTTTGTTTTTGCATACTTTGACGATTAGATTTGTCTGAATTTCTCTAAGAGGAACCAAACACCGTTATCGTGGGTATAAACTGAATGTGATATGCACTGAGGGCAGGTCACAGAACAAATGTGTGAGTTTAGTGATAATGGACTTATCCATGTTAGCTTTAAGCTAGTCCACAAAAGACATAGCAGCAACAAAGGTCTAAGAGTATGGACTTAAGCATGATCTAAAGAAACCTGCTAGGAAGCCCTAATACTTGCCCTCTGTTGGCCACACTAAATTTAAGATGCAGTGCCTTTAGCAGATTAACACTAGCACAGGGGTAACTTACCAACTCTTTGACTGCATTTAATCATCCTCTGAAGAGCCTGGCACCTTGTTTAACCACTGTGATAGTATGACACTAAGGTATTTACAGTGAGATCGCTTTTACAGTAACTCAGCTTTAGTTCACTTTAAGGACAGCATTGACAGACAGTGCACTGCCAAATGAAAATTGTCGGTTGAATTTTCTTTCCTTAGCAGAACAAAAAGAGAGGTAACATCTGTGCCAGAAATATTACTAAATTTTACACAGCTACTACTAAATTTTGCTCAGCTATTACTAAATTTTCACTGCAGTTTTAGTAGGCATATGCAAACTGTATGTGCATATCATTTTCTATAACATTTCATATTTGTTTCCAGTAGCTAGTTTAAAAAAAAGAAAAAAGAAAAAAGAAATTTTATGCCATAGATTTAAATATACAAAACCTAAAAAGAAACAGCATTAACTATATGACCACAGAATATTCCCACAGTACAAACGTGCATGCATGCTGTTTTTACTGCAATAATCTTGCAGTTTGCCTTGGGAGCACTGCACATGCAAATCAGCCACAGTTTGCAGAGAGTACACTTTTATTATTAAATAACACTTCTTTTATTAGAAAACTATAGTTTTTCCTCCTCATTTAAAACCTAGGAGCAGAGCACATTTTGGTCTTAGCTGACTGAATATGTATAACCATGGTGGTTCTTCAGTAACCTGTCCTTTGTAATGTCACCCAGAGAATTCACCAAATCTGGTAGCACCTGCAGGAAGGATAGCACCTGCAATATACTCACCAGTGAGGCCATGGTGAACCCAATGACTTCAATGTAGCCATCATCGTGGCGCTGAGGCTCAAAGTCTCTGTGATCTCCAGGATTTCCCCAGGGCATTGTGCCAGCACAATACCTAGAGAAAGGGGTTTGAAAAGCAAGCTTTGAGAAAGCAGTTTGCCCTTATGGGTCCTGTCTAGTAGTCTGACTATTAGCCTGTTCTGCCATCCTCCAGAAGTACCCAGATATCCATTCAAGGATTCAGTTCAGGGACAATTAAAGTTATGCTGGCAGGGATTGGACAAAAGGGAAAAATATGTCTCTTGTTTCCAAGGTGGTACACCAACCATAAATGTATCCATCATAATCTTTAGCAAGTTCCTTTACGAGACAAAAATAGGGAAACACCAGGAAACAGATAACAGAGGAGCAGCACTTAGTTCTCTCGACTTGCTTTGCTTTCTGCCGATGAGCTGTTGAGCCAGAAAGCTGCTTAGCTCCTCTGCTAGGCAGGCATGGGGCTACAGCAGCAACTCCATCCTTGGAGCTCTATCTCCTCTCTCTCTGCTGGCTCAGAAGCTCTAACAGCAAAAGGAATGCAAAACATTTCATAGCTTGAGGATGCAGGAAAAATAAGAATCAGGAAGAGATGCAGCTGTGGTATCTATCTTTCCTACCATTAAAGAATGGATGTAAAAGTGATCTAAGAGTAGCAAGGGGGAACTTTGGAGAGGTGACACCAAGTAAAAGCTAGCAATGAGGGCAGTGCGGGACTCAAAAGATCAAGTGCTTGGGACTGTGTGTGGAGAAAAGCAGTAGGTTGTCCAAAGCAGTGGTCTTCACAGTGGGGTGCACGCATCTCAGGGAATGTGCAAGAAAAATCGAAAACAGATAAGACAATTGGGGTATGTGAAGGAAGTATTGTTTGTATTTTTAATAAAGAAGAAAAAAACATTATTTTAATGTTTGTTTCATTTTTATCATATCATTTGTTAACTTATTTCTGTGTATATGTTTTATAATGTATGTAATAAATTAGTACCATAGTATATGTATATAATTTAAAAATAAATATACATACATCGGGGTGGTTTGGAGAATACTGCTCTAGAGAGGAGATAGACAACTTTTAAGAACACAGCTGTATTTCTTTTCGGGACAGCTTCTAACATGTTAAAAAAAACCCAAAACTTCTTTCAATGGTTTGGTGCTCCTTTACAAGAAAAAAAAAAATCAATTCTTCCCCACACCCCCTCTGTTTTCCTCCTCCACACACTCTTTTCACACTCTGCTTCTAATTGAGCGAAAGACCAGCATCTTGGACTAGATGATCTTTAAAGGGCCCTTCCAACCCAATAAATTCTTTACTATCTTGTTTGCAGATCAGGTACACAGCTTTTGAAAGCATGTTTGTTAATCATTTTTACTATCTCTGTATCAGGATATTCAACTTTTTAAAGGATGGTTTAGCTGCACCTTGAACTCAGATTCCATTCCACATTGCTAATTAACAGTATTATAAGCACCTAGCTCCCAAGAAGGCAGCACAGTGGCAATACTCTCCCTGCACATCCACCCAGTCTAGGACAACTTTTAAGTATTTTTTTTTCTTTTTTAACTCTAAACATCTATCTTTAGCTTACCTGGGTATGTTTAAAAACACTATACACTGGAACTTCAGCTCCTGGATCTTTGGAGTCAGGTCTGTACCATCACACTACAAAGCCAAAGTGACAGAGCACAGAGAAATTGCTGAATGGAGCCACAGACAAGAGAAGTGTTGCTGCTTTGTAACAACTTTCCCAAGACTTTCCTTGGAATGTGTTGCAAATGTCATGCTCAAAACTGAAAAGTAACAGAGCCATTAAACTCTCACCTTACTCTCTCTCCATTCCCCCCCTATTCCCACAGCACTATGACACAATTTCTTATACTTACCACAACTTTAACATGCTTGGATAAATCTCTTGAGCTTCTTTGGAGAAAGTCTGTAAAGGCTGCCTGCAACAGAAATTAGCAGAGAAACTGTCATCAGTGCTTCCTCATTTCTCTTTCTTCATTTCTTATCCCAAAAGAGAGCCAACTACCAAAATGCCATCCTTTTGTCAAATCTATTCTTTCTTGCTCTCAGGAGATATGATTTCCACACACCACCACCCCACCCCTGGCCCCCCAGCATGACACTTCTTCTCTTGAAAGGTTAACCAAAGAAGGTGCTTGGGCACTCAAGGATATAAATGCAAATTCTTGTTCACATACTTGCTTCCGTGTTTAAGGCACATAGGTATGGTGGGAGTCATCATCCAGAAAGAGATTATGTGTCATGCATTATCAAATTAGTGTCTCTCTCTTAATAACTGGATTTCAGAATAAAGTGTTTTCCATGTACCTCCTGAATGCAGAGGTGGGTAATTTTATTTGCGTATTCAAATACGAAAATTAGTCACTCTAAACAGCGGATCTCTGCCCCCCCCTTACATCCAAGACTATTCCTCCAAGCTACAAAGATACATGCTAAAATACTTGGGAAATTTCTCTATGAAAGTCAGTATCAATGTGCTGCCCAAACCTTGAAAGCAGCAGAGCAGTTTGTTGAGAAGCTTATGAGCCAGAAGCGGAGGGAGCAAGACATGACCAGTACCACCTCCAAAGGAGTAGCATTTCTCTCACCTGCTAAGCTCTGTGAAACAACAGCGCTTCAGGCACTTTCCAAAAGTGTGAGGCAATGCCAGAAATAGTACATGTGCACTTTAAATTGCAACAGGCAAAATAAACTGGCATGAGCTCCTGATGTGAGAAAGTGAGGGCGAAGGTACTTAAGAAAACATTCAAACAACTAAGTTAGCATCATTCTGTAAGATGAATCACAACTCACCCCAGCATAAAACATTTTATTTCTAAATCGGCTGTTGAATTTCTCTGGATTTGCTTCTGTGAAAGGATAAAAAGGAAAAGTATGAACAGCCTAATAAAACCAGTAGACTCCACTTTATTGTCACATTTCCTGCTAGCACTATAGAGCTTCTAGCACACATCACTCAGTGAAAATGTTAACATAAACAGTTTTCCTGTGTAAGAGTCCTTTGTCTGTGCCATAATCTATCAGATTTCAAATACTGATATTGAATTCTTCCTCTTTCCTGTACAGTGGAAATAGATCGAAACATGAGCAAAGAGGTTAATCAGTTAATTTAGCACCTCTCATACTATTCATCTTATGATCCCTCCCAATTGTGAGACTTCTATTTCTACTAGTGCAGAACAGACCTCCAAGAATTACTAGAAAACCATGAAACACTAACCCATGCTTTGAAGCAAGAGTAAAGCATTAGAAAATTACAAGATGAAACAAACACTTAAATTCTGATGTGTTACAAAGAGGAACAGACATCTCTACCCAAAGATTCCTGCAGAAAATAAGTTATTAATTGTTCCAAAGAAGGCTGTTTCATTTTGATTAGACTAAGTGGTGGAGAATTTTAATAGTCCAGTAGCAATACACATCTAATGGTTAATTATTCTCTGTTAAAATAAATGTGGGGTTTTTTTCCTATCTTGAACTTTTCAGACTTCAACTGCCAACTGCTAAATCTTATTAAACTTCTGTCAGATTAAAGAGCCCTCAACTATCAGATATCTTCTCCTTGAGTAAATACTTATAGGCAGTGATTAAATCGCCTCTTAACCTTCTTTCTGATAAGCTAAATGCAGCTCCTTTAATCTCTCAGTATAAGGCATGCTTCCCAGAATACAGGTCATTCTCATGGCTCCCTGGGAAGAGCTTTCCTAGCCTGTGGCATCCAGAGATTTTAGAAGCAGCCCTTCTGACACTGTATTCAGTGGCTGTATCAACCACCTAACCTTGCTCAGTAATTCCCTAGTGAAAACATCCAAGTATCAGGATAGTCCTTCTGGCTAAAGCATCACACTGGTGGGAACACTTCTAAATTACTCCTTCTCAAATGGCCACATGAAACAACGCTTTCGAGTTCTTTTGAAGTCACTATATCTCACAACATAATGTTCCACTGTGTAAGAATGAGCTACTTACTCTGTGTTTCTTGTTTGATTGCTTGCCCTGCCACTGTTATCCATTTGCTGTGTTATGGCTGAGCCTGGAATGCAGTCAGGGCCACCTCTTCTTAAAACCATTAATTTAACTGCATAAGTAAATCTCATCTCACTACTGAGCTCCTAGCTCTTTACAGAAAGTCTTAACATCCTATGCTAAGAAGTGAGAAGCTCCTGAAGGCTCAGTGCCCATGCTGATGTGGCTATCCCCAATGACTCTGGGTAACAGCCACCAGGGCACTGGCTCTTACGACAAACACTGACCAGAACTAAAGCCCCCAGTCTGGAACTGGCTAATCAGAAAAGGAGCCTTTCTGAGGTCAAGGACCTTCAACATACTGAACTGCTGCTACCTGTGACATAGATGAGCACAGGTAGCAAGGGAGGACTGCGTTGTAGAACAGACCCTAAAGTAGATTAGAGTGTAATTTCAATTGTAGGCATAAATCACTGACTGCCTATCCAAGGGTCACTCCATCCTCATCCTTTTCAAGCCACCAAGGAAGTAGGAAAAGGAAAGTGTTAGAGCGAGTGAATATGTGTGTGTGTGTGCACGCATGTGTTTGTGCACATATAAGCAGGGGGAAGATGTCCTGTAAATGAGCAGTCCTGAAGAGCTGAGGGAGTACAGAGCATGTCAACAAGGATAAAGTAAATCGCATCTCCCTTGACCTACCAAAGCATAAGGGTAACAAGGGAAGAAACTGCAACTCTGGAAAGAGTCACTACCCAGAACACTTCCTGAAGAAGCAGAGCTAAATGCATTAGGCTTGGAGCCAACCCTCAAGGCTCAATCTGATTAGTCACAAGTGTAGAGGTTGCCATGGAAAAGGTCACATTCACGTACAGGTTCCTCTGAGACATTGCAAATACTGCTTATTTTAAATATAACAGTTGACCAATCCCTATTGCATAAAATGTCCTGATAGGCTGAGAGTTCAAATGAATCTAATTTATTTTGGTTTGGTGGAGGAGAGGAAGAGAGGGGATAAGGGGGTATGTGTATGGGGGACTTTGTGTTTGTTTGTTTTAATACCGTATGTGATTACAATAGCTCAACATAAGTAACCACATACAACCACTTATCTGAATGGACCATGGGCAACAGCCATGAATGTGCTTTAATTTTTGCTTAAGTTTTGCTAATAGTTTCTCTGGATTGTAATCAATTGTAAATTAGATTAGAATCTGCTTTACACTTTAATTCTACATGAACCACAATAAAACCTACACACCAGCAACACCTCCAAGGCTATAGGCTTTTCTCTCCTAAAACACAGAAGACTCATTTGTATATTTTAGCATTTGAGAGGGTAAGGAAGACACCAGCAGTAATGACTTGCAAGAGCAGACACTTGTGTTATGAAAAGCTCTCACAGCTTGCTTTGCCAAGTATTTTTTCACCCATGTAAATTTTTAAAACACTGGCATCTCTGAAATAATATCCATTCTTTACAGGGCTCCATTACTTCATTATTAAGTAATGCCTCCATTAAGTGAGAAAGTAGCTGTGCATTTCATCGATGCATTCATAAAAAAAATGCATACAGCTGTCATCACTTCATTCCTGTGCCCTTTTGTGGCCCCTCATTATTATTCCTAAAGCTTGAAGCAGTCTTAAACACTATTAAATATGCATTAGCTCATTCCATCATGTAGCCTGCTCTTTATTTAGCATGGCATTAGAGTGCTATCTTTTCATCTTGAAATGACACTCTGATAGTATGAAAGTAAAGATAAGGGAGGCTATGATTCAGAAAAAAATACCTACATATGAAGGAGAAATGACCAAAAGCTGAATACAGACAATTGACCAAGGTTTGTTTATACAAGCATGCTTGTCAAAACAATATAGATAGAGCAGTTCACACCAGTCCAAAGGCCACCTGTTAAGCCACATTTGGATCTGTATGGGGTGATATAACTGCCATCAGCAAGGGGACAAACAAGATGCTGTAACAGCTCAAATTCCTGACAGTTTCACAGACTTCATTAAAACCTTCCTTGCACAGAGACACTCTGGGTCTGTACCAAGCCCAATGATATCATGCTATACTCATCCATAGGTAACAGCTGTTCAGTTTGAGAACACAATTATCCTCCTGCTGCCCTGCTACTTCCACAGCCTTGCAACTTTTTCTCCTCCCTCCACCTCCACACTGGAAGGAAAACTGGCACTAACTTACATTTGTTTTTCTTTCTGCTCTTATTCTGACACTTCTGCATCTGCATAAACTTCCTTTGTGCTTGTACTTGTGTGCTGTTTTTAGCTAGGATAGAGTTAATTTTCTTCATAGTAGCTGGGGTTAATCCTACCAGCCGTTTTTGTCACTCAACATGGGGCTTGAAGGGCTCGAGATAATGACATGTTTGATTGGAATATGCTAGGTCAAATTTATAGCTGTTAATGCTGTTTAGCTATTAATTGGCAGGCTCCTCTCCTTGCCATGGGGCTCTTGCTTGCTTTGCTGCATATTAGAGTCTAGTGCTCATTAGTGGCTGCTTTTTGCTTTCACTGCTTGCTGTACTGCTGATCATTTTATTCTGCTGCACCTGGAAACATTTTGATAACAGCAATGGTGATGTGCCTGGGCTGGCAGATGGCCAGAGCATTGCTGCTGTTTCTGTGCTGCTGTACTCTACAGGCTGGAACTCCAGTGTGAACTAGAGTCAAAGGGACTGTGACCTGTGACTCTGCAGGAACAGGACACTCCAAAGTGTCTGTGGTCATGAATAAGTCCACAGCAAAGCAGGTACATCTCAAAGTATCTGTGGCTTTGGGTAAGTCCACGCTGCAGCAGGTACACCTTGAAGCATCAATGACGGTGCATGAGGCCATGCTGGAGCACCTCAAAGTGTGTGGCTGTGGATAAGCCCACAACAAAGCAGATGCACTCCTGGAGGGACTACAGCCATGGGTAAGGCCATGTTGAAGCACATTTACTTCTGAAGGGACTGTGGCTGTGGGTAAGGCCACACTGGAACAGGTACGCCTCAATGTGACTGTGGATAAGACTATGCCACAGCAGGTATACCCCTAAAGAGACTGTGGCTCAGAGATAAGGCTCCACTTGGAACAGGTACCCTCCTAAGGGACTGCAGTCTGTGGATAAGTCCTAGCTGGAACAGGGGCAAGAGGAGTCAATTACAATGTTAAACCCTATGGCCTGGTCCAAAGGGACAGGGGTGGAGATTGTAATGGAAATACCGTTAAATTGCTGTAACCTCAGATTTGAGGTGCATTTTATGAGAATTACTATAGCAGGATCTTCTTGTTTCTAGACAGGCTAGGAGCAAGGGGAAGACTTCATTCCCATGTTAAATTCTATAACCTGGCCCAAAGGGACCAGGAGTGGGGATTTTAATAGAAATACCTTTAAATTGTTGTAATCTATGATTTGAGTTGCATGTTATAGTAACTACTCCAGCAGAAACCTCCTGAACCAAGGAGGGAGAAGCCTTACAAGAAGCAGTACAAGTGTAGCAGCGACCCAACCTGAGCTGGCTTTGGTGCCCAGTAACTCCACACAACACACCACTTCTCCTGTCCCGAGTGACCACCAAAACAGATGGAGACCAATGTCGTGGACTAAATTAACTCAGTAGACATTTTACGGGTGTGGTCCATAGACTATGGGAACGATATCTGTGTATTATATCAAGGGATGGGAAGCACGGTGATGGGTAATGAGTTTGTATTAATGTGGAACCTGAGCAACACATAAATGCAATGGAATGGGAGGTGAAGAATGTGATTGTTTTGGCTGGGACAGAGTTAATTTTCCTCACAGTATCTAGTATGAGGCCATGTTGTGGATTTGTGCTGAAAGCAGTGTTTCTAATACAAGGATTTCGTTATTGCTGAGCAGTGCTTACACAAAGTCAAGGCCTTTTCTGCTTCTCACACCATCCTGCCAGTGAGCAGGCTGGGGGTGCACAAGAAGTTGGGAGGGGACACAGCTGGGACAGCTGACCCCAACTGACCAAAGGGATATTCCATACCATATAACATCATACTCAGCATATAAAAGCTGGAGGGAGGAGGAGGAAAGAGGGGAACATTGGGAGTTCTGGCGTTGGTCTTCCCAAGTAACCGTTACACATGACGGAGCCCTGATTTCCTAGAGATGGCTGAACGCCTGCCTGACTATGGAAAACAGTGAATGAATTCCTTGTTTTGCTTTGCTTGTGCACACAGCTTTTGCTTTACCTATTAAACTGTCTTTATCTCAACCCACAAGTTTTCTCACTTTTGCCCTTCCAATTCTCTCCCCCTTCCCACAAGGGGGCAAGTGAGCGAGCAGCCGTGTGGTGCTTAGTTGACTCCAGTTTAACCACAACAACTTGGTATCTCCTTCAGAAGATCAAAAACTGAAAAGTTCCCCTTTCAGCCCTTTTCCTCCAGTGACTGCCGTTTTTCCTTCTAGATTTTTAAATCACAAAGTCCCTTCCTACTTGTGTCTGTATCTTGGGGTTTTATGTTCCAGCTTTCCTCTGAATTATAAGAGCAGGATGTTAAATCCAACTCCATTTGTAATACATAAAATAACTGCCCATTCTGAAGGCTAAGGAAATAAAAAGTTCATAATTACCTCTAGATTCATGGAACTCCAGTGTAACATGTGCATCAAATCCAAGGCTGAAGTAATTATTGAAGACACTGAGTGGAAGCTATAATTGGATAATAAAAATACATGTAAAAATAACATGAATGAAACATTCCATGACACAGCAGAAATTAACTACTTTACATCTGGGATCTCATGAAAACCTAAGAAGAAAGTGGAAAATATTAGGGAAACATGTGCAGAAGGTTGCTTTGAAGGTTAGTAATAGCTTGTGGAAGATTATCAGATAGAAAAGTGTGTGACCTAGTCTAGGTGATCCTGCTCTGGCAGGGGGCTTGGACTGGATGACCTTTCAAGGTCCCTTCCAACTCCTAATATTCTGTGATTCTGTGAAAAGCCTAAAGAACGCGAACACATCTACCGTGCTTTATGATCATATGTGTATCTTTGTAAACACAAAGGGTTCCTTATGTTGTCATTGAGATTTCCCATAATGTTGCTCCACTTAACGTGTCAATATGAAGGTTTTCTTAATTGCTAGCACTTCAAGCTCAGCATGGCAAATGAAACTCAAGCTGTTCTTCCTGCTTCATATATAACCATGAGCAGTGCAAGCCCCAGACAAGAAGCCCTAATTCTGTTGAGGATGCATGAGGTAGGGAAGAACACATCTGGCCTCTTCATCGTTACATATGCCCAGCAGGGCTGTGGAGAGAGAACAGTGGCATCCAATAGATACATTGGAAATTATAACTGAAAAGAGGAAAATGGTTCACAATTTTTTTCATGATTGCAATACTTCCAACATCTCCAGTCCAAATGACATATTACTATAAATGTGATCCCCTCACAAAGATTTTCACATTCTTCCAACTATCAAGATCATATGGAGATCCATACACAAAGAAGATAAATACAAAAATACACTACTCCTTGCTGTAAAGCAGGAAACAGTTATCTATTAGCAAAATCTGAAGGAATAAAATTCTACATCCTGTTTTAAGATTTATGTCTATAATTTAGGAATGGATGGTAGTTACAAGGTTGCTTCTCCTGCCACCCCAGGTTAACTAGAGGGATAAAAAAACAAAACAAAACAAAAAAACCCAAACCAATAAGCTTTCAGATAAGATGCCAGGGGTTTTTGCTAGGACTTAATTCTTGAGATAAACGCTCAATGTCTAAGACTTACAAACAACAAATAAATGGCTGGTATGTATTACATTTTACACACCTCTGGAAGCATTGACACAAGAAAAGGGCAAGAGGAAGAGATGCAAGTAGAGAACTAAAAGGTTTTAGAGCTTCCCCACTTGTGCATCTTACGATGTAACCCAAAGACCCTCTTAAGCATCCTATAGTCTCCCTGGGAAAAATAAGGTTCTAACCTTACGTGACCCATCCTCCAGCTCATCCTGTGGCAAATCAGGGTTGCGCTCAACCTGGAGATTCCAGCGGTCCAGCTGGACAATGGTCCCATCTTCTACATGGCACAGGATCTTGGACACTGGCTCATCTGTGTAACCCTGATGGCAGAGGGAGCGTCACTAGAGCCATGCATAGCAAAAGGAAAGCAAGTCACTCGCCAATTACCTGGCAAACTTCCCTTCTTTCATAGAGGCCAGATCAAATGTGTCTAAGAACATCTGAAAATATCATTAAATTTCGATATATCAAGCATTTTAACAAGCTAGTGGTGAGGTACAAAAGTCTTGGGCAGGCAAAAAGACCATAAGGAGAGGAACAAAAAGTATATTTGCCTTGCCTGGAATAACTCCAGTGGTGTAGTCAAGGATAAACACAAAGAAATAAAGTTTTAACAATGTCTAAATTAGAAGGCTGCATATCCTCCTCATTACTTGGCCTGAAATACCAGACAGACACATCAATGTACACTTTTCTTACAACAACTACATTGTTAGGAAAATTCAAGGACCCAAACTGGAAATTGAACCAAACCACGTTGCCTGACTGAAGCAGACCTTGGACACAGCCCTGCTATTTTAACCAAAATGAAGTTCCACCCTACACAACCAAGTCAGACCAGTAAGTTGAGATCCCGTATGTAAGGGTACCCCCGTCAGCGCTTACCCCACCCCAGTTGAGGGTACGGGCAAGGTCATTCCCAGTACCAAGTGGAAGGACAGCCACAGGAGGTGGGGGGCTGAGTTGCAGCTCATCGAGGATGGAGAGGATCCAGCCCACCTATAAAACAAGAAATGCAGAGAAGTGTAAGTCAGGAACATTAAAAGGGGTAGAAAAAAGGAAAAATACATCTTTTGATCATATCTCCTTTACAAAGAAGATCAAAGTAAAACAAAAGGGAAAAGGAAAAACAGATATCTGGAATTTAACTCTACAGTTGCCCCATCTGAGGTTCCACCTTTCAGAGAACTGGTTCAACAGTTTTCATGAAACTCCTGTACAAGCAGAAGTGGTGGGATGTTAACACTCACTATTTTTAACAGTACACAGAGTTACTGAGGAAAGGAAGAACATAAGTTGCTGTTCTTTAAGCAGAAAATGAAAACACAAGGAATTATTACCTGCCTAAGCCTGCCTAACTATTGCTCTGAAAAATACTGTATGTAAAAAAATGAGTAAACAATAATATAGACAATTCGAGATAATTTTTTTTAAGTGCCCTTGTGCTAAAATAAACTAAACCTTTGACAGCTGTCATGAAAGAAGATGAGAGACACACATTAAAACAGCACAGTATCTCAGAGCATGTCCAGGAACTGGAATACAGGGCCCAGATCAAGTCAATCATGGACTTGCCCACAGGTCTTCCATTCCCTAGACAAGAGACTTCAGTGCTGAATTATTTCACTCAGTGCAAAGCATAACATATATATGTTCTAGTCATACACACACATCTATGTATGTATGTGTGTGTATATATATATTTATGTAAATATTTATATTTAATATATTTATATAGACATATATATAAATAGAAGACTAAAAGACTAGAATAAAAGTCAAACCTCAATGCTCAGTGTTGAAGACTGAGTGGGAACTATGAATCTGGCTCTTTCATATCATAAACTATTCCTTATTTTAGAGAGCTGTTTCTCTCTCCTGTCCCTATTCCAGACTACATAAAAATTTTAAATAGAAATCTAGCCAGAAGGAACAAATTACTGTAAAATATTTTGTTTTGATTAGATGGTAATTTCCAAGAGAATAAAGCAGAGTTGCTGAAAATGTTCTTAAACTTTTTATGACTGAAATTCTTGCTACAAGAAAATATTTCTTAAACTATTTCTCACCTTTAAAAAACAAACTGTGAAAGAATGTGTGCTGCATTTATAAATAAAGAATTAAGAAAAAAAATTATGTTTTTATAAAAGTTTATAAAATAGGTATGTTTAAACATATAGATAAAATTTGATCTTTTAGGTTTTTTGGATATTCCCCACCTCCCCCACCCCCAACATCAATGTTCAAAGATGCAGTCTCTACTGGAAACATTAACTTTTAAATAAGACATGTTTTATGAAATCCCGATTGCAGCTGGACAGGATTTTTACTTTCCCAGGTACATGTGGAAGAAATATCCCCAACTCCTCATTACTATGACTTCAAATAGATTCTAACCCCAAACTAGGACAAATCTGGAGTTTCATGAAAGGCACCCAGCATAACATGGGCATTGGGAACCACAGCTGAAATCTGAAGGACTGGAGGGGAAATGGCCTGAAAGATATAGCAGCCACCATGGTATCTGGTATTCTAGGATATATGTGTTTCTCCAATTCTCTTGAGGGAATTTAATACAGTATAAACAGCATTTATCAGACAGTTCTTTATCATAAGTAGTTGTACAATTATTAAAGCATTCATCTGAGATGTGAACCCACATTAAGAGCTCATTGCCCAACAGCAGCCATCTGAAGCAGCCATCTGAATAACTTACAACTCTCATCGACTTGAACGTCACCAAAGGTACTTAGGTCTATCATAGTCACCATGGCAGGACTAAGTACGGCCCTTAAGTGGTTTTCAGAGATAAGTAATCCTTTACCTTTCAAAAATCTATCCTTTAGTATTGATAACAGGAGACAGAATAAACAGTCCCAATAACTTCACAGGGGCCGGGACTTCTTAAAGAGTCTTTTGTCATTAGCCTTTTGTCATTGACACTGACATAATCCACACATCTGTGCCTCAGCCTCCCACTGTTGCAGGTAGCACTACAATACATACAACTTGTGTAAATGCTCTTAACTAATGCACTGAAACTTCAAGTTACTAATTTGTAAGTACAACATAGCTATTTAACTTGAGGTCGTTTCTAAACCTTGCACATTAGTTTTACAATCAAGGATGACAAAGACTATCATTTCCCTGTAAACAGAAAGCTCCCGACTGCTTTGAAAGCAAAGGAACAGCAAGCAGCAATGATGGAAAAGTTACAATGAGTTCTGATTCACCTCAATAATGCAAGGTAACATCTGGTCTCATTGAATATTCACTAAGTCCATTTGAGCTAGATTTTTCATTTCTAGTTGTAATGGCTTTGGGAATAACTAGATATTAATTTGTTTCAAACTGAGCAGCAGCAAAGTTAATAGCTGAGTGCTGCTCAAACTCATGAGAAGGTGCTGCCACCTGTCGCTCGTACTGCTCAGCAAAGGGAAAACAAAGGATGGTCAGACTGAAATGTAGTTGCGTTCATTTCTATTTCAATTTTTTGGGGATTAATTCCCCTCCCCCTATTAAAATATTTGCTTCCTCAGATGGGAGAAAAAAGACTTTCAGAAACAGATTGAAACTTTTTTTTGCAGCTTATGATTCCCGCTATGGCAATTTGCAGCATTTGCAACCTTGCACATTTCCCAAGGAAAGATCACTATTCAGTAACAATATCATCTTATTGTCCCAGGTACAAGCAAGACAGTAGTCTAATCATGTTTGGTTTTTTTTTCTTCACTCTTGTAGGAGAAGCACTGTATTAATAACCCCTACAGCTGATGTTTTAAAAGAACCTACAGAAGCTGAACAGACAGTTCCCCCAGAAACTCAAGCAGAGGTGAGTTAAGGGTAGGAGTTCAGCTCACTACCAAACAAAAAAATCCTCCCCATGCCCTAAACATCTACATTTATCTACCCTGGCCAGCCATTGTACCTTGCAAGCACTAATGCATTTTCCTTATCATACTGACACAACTATTACCCAATGCACATTTGGGGAACTGAGCTTCACAGAGACTAAAGGTTAGTTTTTCAACTGTATTTAAGCATTCAGTGGCACAGGCTGAGATCTACAATATTCCCAAGTACTAGAAAGAGTAATGCAGTGGTAATATCTCCACTAACATTCATGGCATCAAAACCTTGGATTGCGGAGCCTGACTCCAACCGAAGGCACCTAAAACCTTTAAAGATCTGACCCTATTCACTTATCCAAGAACAAACAAATTTAGCAGCAAAGAAAAATACTAAACCTGGATCTGCCAGATCCCAGGCTAGTAGTATTAATGCAACATCCTTCCTTACAGACACTTGGTAAATGAAGTGGGGAAACTCACTTTCTTTAGGCAGAGAAGAGACCCTATTTGACTGTACTGAGACATCATGGAGACAACAGAAGGAAGAACCCGATTTAATGGCCCCCAGACACCAACATAAACTGCTTGACCCTCAGATCTGTATAAAAAGTGAGAGGAGGCCAGAAAAGTCAGTATTTGGGGTTTAAGCTGTATTAAATATTTATGCATAAAGCAGATAGGACCTTGGCCATTAAGGATCTGGCCCCATCACCACTTAGGCCAGGCCACACAAAAAAATTTTTAAAAAGTATATTTCACAAGCATAAGGTATATTATCTGGGTCTGCAGGCATTGCAAGGTGGGAAATGACAACTGCAAGCAATTTAATATCTTAATGATGACTACAGGGCTGCCAGGCAATGGACACTTACTGTCCCATCCCCGCCGCAGGCCAGGATCCGCAGGTTTGGCACTTTTCTGTACAGCTCCAGCCTGACCAGAAAAAGGAAAGATAGAAAAGGGGAAAAAAAATGTCAGAACAGTGATGCAGGCACATTTTATGTATTTTGCCGATAGACAGTATAACTGCGCTTATTGCATTTTTGAATATTCATTACTAAAGGGTGTGGGTGGAGACAGAAAAATATTTTTTTAAAAAACCCTTATCTCAGTGTTACCGAAAGCCTCAGCAGTGAGCAGGCATCAGCCTTGGCAGCTGCAGGTGGCACTGGCACCAAACCAACCTAAGTCCTGTGGCTCGCCACCACTGCAGTCCACCCCACCACCACTACAAAAACCTGGGCATGTAAACCCAATGCACAGTCTACCAATCTATCCAAGACTGCTTTCCCAGTATGAAAAGAATTATGGTCTGCAGCACTGAAGGCTCAAGAACTTACGCATCTCTTGGCCCTTCCTGAGAGAGATCAAAGACCTGGCGTGGATTCAAATACCACATAAACATTTGGAGAACCTTGGTGCCCTGGGAAAAGAAAAAAATCAAAGGAAGGGAAATTATAAATAACTTTGATTATTAGAAATAAGTGTTCAATATTCACTATATTTGGACTGCTTTTTTTCTTGAGCTAAAGTGGGGCCTAGGATTTTAGTAACCTTCAGGGTTTCCTCTTCAAAATCTCTCCTTTAGCCCATGTAGTTTTTTAGCATTCACAACATCCTATGGCAAGCAGTTTTGCAGCTGAACTACACAATGTGAGAAGGACCAGCTTTTTTCTTTATTCTGAATCCAAGTCTCAGTAGTTTCATTTGATATCCTCTATAATATTTCTAACAAAGGAGAAAGTGTGCAGCATCTGTGCAATTCTCCATGTTCTATAGGCCTCCTATATCTTACATCAATCTTTTATTTTCAGCTAGAAGGCCTTGCTTAACAAAAGGCACTCAGATTATTTGATATTCAGAAAGTGGCAGAACTAATCTGCAAAACTTTCACTTGGATAAGTTTTAATTCCAAGAACACAAGAATGAAGTCTGCTACATGATCATGTTAGCCACTGAAACTTGTTTCTCTATGGTACAGTACAAGACCAGTAATCATTTTTTAAATGCCATAAGAATGTGTCATTGGACATTCACTGATTTTACTAGGCTAGTAAAAGTATATCACTTCTTGGGTAAAAGAAAAGTCTAATACTTCATTGGCAATCTAAATTTTCTGTGGAGAGATGAAGTCTTCTGAAAACTTCTAAACTACAATTTTAGATTCCTTTCAAGAATCTAAAGATAGGAATACAATTGCTCAAATACTCAAGGATCCATTCCACCCATCCAATTCCACTGAAGTGGAAAGGGCATTCAACAGCAAGGACCTCTTCTAAGGATCATAATTCATAGTGTTCTTCCTATCTGACTCACTTAAAACTATTCTCATTTGCAGAAACGTTGTTAAACTAAATTCTATGACCTGAATCTCGATAACGTTCTTACCTGATTCCCTCCACTTTTTGGATTGACAAAAACCAGTAGTGGCTTCATGAGCGGAGAGGAGATAGGCTTTATCACAAATGGCCGACCTTTGTTCTCCTGAGAAACAGAAGCAAGAAGTAGCTTTAGTACAAACTATGTATGTTTCCTTGGCATAACAGGTACAGGAGACCCAACCTAGCTCTGACAAAGCTACCTCAGGTACTGGAAACAGTACAACCATGTTAATGTGGTGCTTAGATGTGCCTAATTTATCCAACTGAGACAACTGATTAAGAAGATAAGAGGGGAAAAAAATCAGGCCAGCACAAAACTATTTTAAAATTTTACTCAATGTTACTTCCCAAAAACCTAATTACTCACACAGTGCTAATAATATGTCAGATAAAGTGCTATTTCTAATATGTACAATGGAAAATAGAATGAGATAAACCACTTATTTCAGGAATTCCATCTATCAGACAAGTTGTATCAGAACTTAGTTGCAGATAATCTGCTCTTGAATTCTTGGCCTTGCTGTCCCTCCCACCTTTGAGCAAATGTCACAGGTCAAACATGATATGTCAATGAAGAAGCTATTTGCCTCACTGCTCCCTATACCTGAAGGGCACCAGAGAGCCCAGTAATTAGGGCACTATCCTGGGCTATGGCAGGTACAGATTCAAGTTTCTGGTCTGCAGTTCTCCCACCATTCAAGTGAGGATATGAACCAGAGAGCTCTGGCTATGCAGAGGCGAGTGTCAGTTCAACTGTGTCCCAATGTAAATTTTCACAGAAGCAGAATATTTCCAACATGAGACCTCCTGAGGGAGCTACCCTCAAATCAGACCAGATCCTTGCATCAGCACACTCACCATGGATTTCACAGCCTCAGCTACACGCCCCTGCATCGCCTAGTGGAAACCAATGGTCTACACTGAATCTCTTAACATCCCAGGGGAATGCTGTCTCATTAGGCTGCTGGTCCTCTGGACTCTCATATGTTGCTTCTTGAAAAATCAACTCAGCAAATAAAACTTCTCATACAAGTTATCAAAACAATTCTTCCTACAAAAATTCAGTGGCATAGAATTCTCCAGTGGAAAAATAAATATTAAACACTGCAGTTAAAAAAATTAAACTTTCAAGTTCGCATTTAGATATTTAAACAAAAGAAGCCTGATTTCCAAAGCACTTAAATACTTACTTCATTGCTTCTTTTGCTGGCTTTTCTTTTAAAAGATGTTCTCTTCTTTCGCCGTGTTGAAGTCTTTAATGAGTTCTACATCAAAAGAAAAAAGAATACATGAAAAGCAAAACAAAATTTAGAAGACAGGCCCCAACAGAGCCCCTTTACGAAGCTCTTCCATGCATGTCCACTTCGAGAATGATAAGAGTATCTGGCACATGCTCGAGATTTAAATTACATGCGCTGCATGCTTTACACTTCCACACCACCGTTTATGGAGAAAGCCACACACGGAGACCAGACTGGTGCTTTGGAACTGGAAACTTTCCCACGCTGTGAGGGGGAAAAAAGATCAGATGCTCCCATAGACTCACATAACACCACATGTTGTACCTGCCAACCCTCCCAATAGGGGTAGGAGACTCCCGTTTCCCCTTCGGGGCTCCAGTCTCCTGCCCAATCAGGCTCGTCTCCTGGTATGGAGACATCCTGCATAAAGATGTAATAAAAAACATGATAAATGAGATATTTTTCATGTTTTTTTTTTTCAGGAAAGAAAACAACAAGTTTTAGCTCTGGCAACCATTATGACTCAACATAAAGCAGGCCACCATGGCATATGACGCTGGCTCTGTGGAGTCAGTTCCAGCCTATCAAGAAACTTGTGTAATCATCTGCTAAGGAACAAACTGAATTGTTAACATTTAAGGATTTGGGCAAGGGGAATGTTTGTGGGGATTTTGTTTTTAAATAATATCATTTAATTACATGAAAGAAAACCAACCTATAAAACTGCTTGTATTTTTGCAGAACTTATTAAAATAGAACTTGCACCAAAGCTATTCTCCAGGCTGGCAATAGCCTGCTCAGTGATACTGAACCACAAAGGTGTTCTGGTGTGATAAGAACCGTCCAAAAGGGATTAATTTTTTTTTTTTTTAATTATTCTAATTCAGTAACTGAAGTCATACCTGCAGGAAACACTATCCCTTTCCATACGATTGAAATAATTTATTATAGGAAATACTGTAAATATTTTCTCAGTATTTCAACTCTTAGTCTAGCAGTCACTGCAAAATAAAGCAACACAGAATTGGAAGGAAGTTTATTGATTTATTTTTTTCTGGCTTCAAGAAGGGATAAAGATCCACTCAGTTCATCCAAAAGTTTATTTCTGTCCTGACCTTATTCAAAAGTGTATCACTAATGAAAAAAAGTCAATGACCAGATATCACAAAATCTGTAAGTAGTGATGTCTGTCATTAATCCTGCTTGCTAAACAACATTAACAAGAACAGCTACTAGATCCTGCTTAATACCTAACAACCACTTCCATAATATCAATCTGGTACAACGCACCAGATATGGAAGTTAATGTTTCCACATCTCTGAGAAGTTGAGGAAAAAACTATCTAACTCAAGTATGTGAAGACATTGTCCTTTTTCACCCAAACCAAGAGAAACCTGATATAGAGTATAAGGTCCCAAGTATTTTGTCACCTCTCAACATTCCTTGTGAACGAGGATATAGTCATGCCTTGGTGCTTACTGAAAATAATGAAGACAAGATGGCTCTGCAGAGTAGTTACAGGACATTCAGCCTTTTTGACCATATCACTTAACAAAGTATGCGTACTCTTCCCTACTCTGATACAAAGTGATCTTGAAAGCGTGATAAACCACAAAGACTGCACTGACTATGAAAGTGTATTGGAAAGACTCCATGGTCTTTCATTGCCCTACCTCACTAGTCAGATTGACTGTAGACAGGTCTTTATGTCAGTATAAAGGCATAGGATACTACTCTTAAAGTTTCCTTCCTTGGGGGCCTCAGCCTTGTTCCTTAGCCATTCTCTGCTGAAGGATTCTCCTTGGAGTGGGGCAAAACACAAGACAGAGAAAAGAACCTAGTCTACCTGCAGTCCTGGCAATGGTCTGCTGAAAGGTCATGGGCGTATCAAGTCTTTTGCCAGTGCTTCAGTCTCTCCAGGTGTAAAATCCAGAATACTTATCCTACTGGTAAAGTGCAGTGAATTCTGCTGGCATATTGTAGTCAGTAACTCAAGTTAGGTGTTATATTAGTCAAGTACTTAACTGTACCTCTGGAATAAGAACTGTAATTTTTATTCTACATCCACAATAGATGGACCTAAGCCCAATGCCTTTCTTCTGGAAAGGATAAAGACAGTTCAGTAAAATCCTAACTAATTTTAAAATAATTATTTAAAGAATGTTCAAATGTAGTTGTTATTAAATCCCATTATAACATGTCTTTTTTCTTGCCTATGGGTGGAAAGAGGCATACAACTATATTAGAGAAAGTTTTAGTCTAAGCCTCCATTCATTACTATAATGATATTCATTTCCACACTCAAAAAGACACTAAAATGTGCTATGTCACAACTGTTATTCCACCTTTTTTTAATGCATGCCTACACCTATAGTGTTAAGAGAATCTAAAGCTTCACTAGGGTGATTGCAACTGCTTGTCCATAGCATAAGAAAGGCAAAAAAGCTGCTTAAACATACACAGGTTCTCTTTGCAAACATGCAGAAGAATAACAGCCAAGAGTAATCATCAGTGTTTGCACACTGAACTGAAGAAATGGATGCATACTACCTTGTCCATATAACAAGGTGATGAGTATTTTATAAGCATATAATGTTATTCAGCAATGTACCTGATAGCAAATCATACCTTTAAATGGGCACCATATGCAAATCCTAATTTGCCTCTAGAGAGGAAACCTCTCCTTTGTGGATGTCAGTTTGGCCATCTTCAAAAAGAGATTTTTGGTATTATTGCATAGTCACTATAGTTCTCGGCAAGCTTAGCTAGATGAACTGAAGAATTGGAGTCCTTCTATGGAGTTGGGTGGTGTGAAGGACACAGACTATCTCAAGCAAATCCAATGGACTCTTTCAATCTTCTCCTTTATAACATTTTAGCCTTCGTTCTCATAGGCTTTAGCATGCTGGGTTTCAAATAACTTAATGAAAAGCCTCTAGAAAGGTCAATCTTGACCAACTTCTGGCTGCTCACAAACCACCATCAGACAAGCCAGCTGCACTCAGCAATTGAGGAAATAAAGAAATAAACCCAGAAATATAAAATTCACTAGTAATTTTTCAAGGTCCTCAAAGGAAGAGAAGAAAACACCATGATTACTCACCTTGAACAGAAAAAAAATTGATTTGTAAAGTTACTGCCTTTGCCTTCCCAAACAGAAGATACACTAAATCAGTAAGTGCATCAGCCAGAGTCTCCTTATTATCCACTTTTCTCCCACAGCGTAAGCATATAGCAAATCCATTCCTAGAGCTAACATCACTTGGGCTACCAAACCTCACCTATAACAAAATACCACCAGTCAAGCTAGGAGATGGAAGTGATTTGAACCCCAGGAAATCAGAGCTGGTATCAAAGTGCCACTAACACAGTACAGGAACACTGGTAATCAGTAAAGAAGTTACTGAAGTGGCTCACACATTATGAACAACATGGAATAGGTATCAAGAGTTTTCCATTCATATAAATGGGTCATTACACACAGGGCTACCACCAATCCTAAAGCTATTTGAACCATTCTGAATGTTCTTCATCTTGCAATCAATTGCTTGCAAGAAGCAAAAGCTCCCCATTTCAAATGTAGGTTGTCAGCAGAGATTTGTCCTTAACCAATTAGACCATGATGCTTTACTATCACAGTGGTGCTGGTAATCAGAAGGGGAGTGTGCTCTTTATTCAAGCTCAATATTTGAAAGGTGGTGACCCATGTTGTAGAAAAAAAGCATGGAAAAACATTATTGTAGCAATAAAAAGAAAAAGAAAAATTAAAAATCAGAGCAAGATTTTGCTACAAAAAGCCATCTTATTTGCTTAAAAGAAATAACCAGCAAACAGGATGAAGGTACCACTAAACTCAATTTCATATGAGTAGGGAATTCAGTTCGGGAGTTGCCTGTGACCAATTTAAGTAGTTAATTAGAGCTGAGGAAATATTTTATAATGAAAAAGCTTCTAGCCAAGTTTATTCTGATTGTGGAATACGTGATAAATAGATTGCTGGCTACACATTTATTTACTATCTGAAATTACAAAAATTTGTGAATATAGTGTTTGTATTCTGCAGATGGAATGCAGTGAATATTTCACAGTGTTTACCAAACGTGCATATAGGGTGAAGAGGAATATAATACACAGAAGCAGAGCTGGCCAGAAACAGCAGGAGAGGAGAAAATATTTCCTAAAAGAAAGAGATAATTAAGAAAACAAAACTTCTGCCAAAAATCTGAAAACACATCTAAAAGACGTGTCAGTATTTTTTAAAGCAATAAGGATGCATTCCCCAGAACTAATACTGCACAACAGGTGCTGTTAAGAAGTTTCACGGAAATATGCCCATTTTCTGTGCTAAATACAATTTTGATCTAATGCTTCAGTAACTCAGGTTTAAGGTCTCTGCATGCTACTGACGATGAATTTCAAGGTCTTGAGATGTGATGGAAAAGGAGTATTGGATCAAAGTATTTCCTCTCCACTCATGGCTCAGGCACACAAAGCTAACAGATACTTTCTTTTAGTAGAACATTTTAAATATCTACCAAATACCACAGAGGTGCTGAAAGTTGGTCGAAGGCCTCAAACAGATTCTTCATCAAGAGATGAAAAAAGATTTCTCTGGAGGAGGCTAGAGTAAAACTTAGTGTGGGGAAAAAAAAAATACAAGTGCCAAAGAAACTTTTTCTTCAGAATGAAAGTGGCTATGAATCTTGCCTACTCTGTCTGGACCTAAAGGAGAAATAGTGGTCTCTTCGGTTTACTTTTTGATTATTCTATACATATATTTCCCCTTTGTCCCTCCCTGCCTTGTCTTTAATATCCAGTTTGTTAGAAGTGCTATTCATGCACAAATCTGACAGTCATATCCATATACTGGAACCAAAAACTGGGCAGTGTCACAACTTAGGTCTTTTTTCCAGTTTCATGGGACTAATTTTGTCCTAGTGCCTTGCCTACAGCAACTTAAGCTTCTTGTTAACAACTAGGATACAGTCAGAAAGCCCTGTGTCACTTCCCAAGGATGGACACACTCACGTTAAGAACTGCACATCACAACTCTATAAAACCAGCATTCCTGTCAATGGAGAAAAACTACATGAAATCTTGAGCGGGGAGTTTCAATAACCCAAACACTATTCGAGGAAAAAAAAAAAACCCCAACCAAACAACGAAAGCCAACACATCAAACAACTTGTTTCGGTGCTTCCAAAAAAAAAAAAAAAAACCAACAACAAAACTTCTACCAGCATTTTTTACTCCATGATATGTTCAGTGTTTGTTTTTTTCTTCCTTTCAGTTCAATCTGAAGTAAAAACAGACTGTCAAATAAAAAAATACTTCTTGCATGATGGGAATCTCCTTATAATTTTTGGCCAGCTCTCTTTTGGATACCTTTTCTCCCTATTGTGTTCACCAGTGAATTAGCCAGACATATCACACACGTTACAAAAACTTTGAAGTCTAATGCTTGTTACCTGCAACTATATGAGCACATGGGCTTACTGCTCACACTCAGCAAGCACTGATGTAAATAAGAAACAATTGCTTAAATGTCCATTGATGGCAAATTCAGAGGGATGCCAGTCCAGCCAGTCAATTCTTACTGCAGTTCAAGTGAATGTTTGCAAATAGATTTTCCCTCTATTTGCTCAGCTCTATTTAATGAAACATGCTTGGCTGTCTACAACACAAGGGATTTCTTGCATTATGCTCACTGAACTCACAGTTAGAGGAACAAACCTGAGCTGGATTTGCTCAGAACAGAAGTCATGTATGTTGCTAATTGTTGCAAACAGGGAAATCTACTGAAGGGTTGGATGGAGGGGCAGGAAGATACGGGTTCATCATTACCATGGATGTATGCTGGGTTTCAGGGATAGAGACAGGGTTGAACAAGCATGCCTTAGGAGTACCGAGCGGTGAAGCCAGGCTGGCCCTGTGCAGCCATACAGCTTCCGAAACAGACATCAGCATGCAGTTACCTGAGGTTTCTTCACCTTAATGATCCAGGTGGGAGGCACAATGACAGCAGCGTGAGCCCCCAGGGAACATGGCTCCTCAATGTGATGTAGCATGAAACAGGTGACTTTGTTATGAAACTGGAAGAGAAGAAAAGTGTAGTCAATAAAGAGGCCAAGAAAGACAAAGGGGAAGTATAGAGAGGAAGAAGTGTGATGATACAAAAACTGAAGCAACGTTCCAAACTCCATCATCTTCAAGTCCTTCAAATCATAGAATTTTATGAACATGTAACAAAATATCATCTTCCCTAGCCATGCCTTCTTACAAAAAAAAAAAACTAAAACCAAAAAAACCCCAGTCACTCCTACATAAACTGAGATCACAGATGGAAGACCACAACCTACTTTGATTAAGCTATATTTATTAAGAGCCCATTGAGCTAGCAGTGGCAGGGCATTGACGGGAGGTAGCCAGTGACTATGCTGAGCAGCAAGACTCTTCTCCTAGAGGACTCATGCCAGCCAGAAGAAGTTATGACGTCTTTGAGCAAAAGGAACCAAAATGGCAAAACTGGGAGTGATTCACACAGAGGGAACCCTAAGAGCCAGGAAAAATGAAAGTGTTTGCAACACGGCCACTCAGTGAAGCTGCTACCAGTCTACCCGAGTATTTTTCACTTACCGCCAGCTTGCACCAGGAACAACTGATGGCCACAATCTCTTTACTATGGAAGGAGAATTTCTGCTGAAAGCCCTAGAATAAGCAGGTAAAAAAGCATTACATTTCTCCTGACTACAAGAAAATTTACACCTTTAACTCTTGCCAAGTGACTGTGCTAGACTAAATCCATTCACTGAAGTCAGATACCTTGATTCAGCCTGAAAGCTCTTGGACACCAAACAGATTTTTGAGGGATAAAAACAATGATGGCATGAATCTTAGAGAAGGTTCTTCAACTGGGGCATTTTCACACACACACTTTTAAAACACTTCTCCAATTTTTTATGCTTTTTCTTAGATTTTTGCAGTTAAAAACAGAGAAAGAAGAAAGAGAGAAGGAATGACTGTTTTAATGGATTTCTAGAGACCTGACAGATTCAGATTTTCTGTTGAACAAGACATTCTCTAATTGCAGTCTTGTTTGCTCTAAATATAAACAAGGTTTTGATTTTTTTTTCTTCCCCCCCCTCCCCCCTTTTTTTTTTAAATACAGAATGGAATCAACTACAATGACTGTGTTGAAATGTTCTGATTGGGAAATTAAGTTCATTGTTTTATTGAGCTGGGTCAGATTGAAATCTTTTCGGTAAATTCCAAAAAAACCAAGATGATCTGATTCAGGTCAAACAGACAAAAGAAATTATTTCTTTATAGCTTTAAAGAGAAAAAAGCCCACCATTACCAGCAAATATGAGATATGAGATATTATCCTCCCACAGAACAGTTTCATTTTGTAGAATGCAATTTCAGCAGACATACCACTTTACCCTAAATTCTAAGGCTGGAAAAGATCATTGGGTCATATACAGCTTTCTTGCATATAACAAAGGCAACAAATGGTAAGTTACAACCTAAAAATTTATGTTCAGTTAAAGCTTATTTTATCCAGAGAAAGAAATTATGTGGGTTGATACCTGCAGAGATAGAAAGTCCAGAAATTCATTGAACAGTTTGTCATAGTCACCTTCACTGCTTAGATTGCAGATTTGCAGACATCTGGATTCTTTATATACCACTTCTATCAAGCCTCTCTACTACATTAAGTAGCCCGTCACCTCCCAAAATTTTCCAATTTGATCTCTCTACCAAGTCATGAATTTGTGAGCCAGTTTTCTTTTACTTAAGTCTCCTACACACTAGGAAATGCCCAAGACTCAATGCAAAAAGTTATAATCTGATTTAGTAACATCTTGCAGGACATTCCCTCACTGTTTCTACAATTAAGATCCTCCTTATCCTAGCTGTTGTGGAAAGGAATGGGAAGATGGACACCTGAAGGAAAAACAAGCCTATTAGTGCTCAGTGCAATAGCAATGTCAAGCACACCAAGAAGAAGAATTAGATGGACAACTGAAAATCCATCCAGAGATGTACCCATCTTGTTTAAGTGAGGGATTGAGCTACAATCTGTCCATACGTGATAGCTGAAGACAGCCCTATCAGTACTCTGAAGAGAAGGAGGCTTTCCCTGTCTGCCCGCCTTGCATAAGTGCACATTGCAGCGACTTCTTCAGGTGTCTCCAGCATGTCAGATGGACCACACCACTAAGGCCTACTCTGAAACAGGCTCGTGTCACCTCTTTTCTTTTTAATTGTTCCTTTAATGCCTCAGGTTTTACGTTCAGAGAAATTCAAAGAGTATATTTTTCATAATGATAGTGATTTGGCATATTAAGGTTTAGTAATGGAGTGTGGTCAAATGGCTTCAGAAAGAAAAGTTGGTCAGCTGCTTCTGACTGAGCAGATTTAGTCTGCCATTCAGTGTGGGCATAAGAACAACCAGAGTGATAGTACATACAGTACGAGTGCTGGAACGGAGGTCTGACACTAAACAAAAAGCTCTATTCTCATTCACTTACTCCAGTGTTTCTTAATGTTTCTCACAAATCTCATTCTTTCATGTCCCAAACTACATGAAAAAAAAATATTTCACTCCCTCAATGGGCACAAAATGTTTTGGTTTATTCTACTTTGTAACAAGCAGGGGAGAAATTCTCCTCTCCCAAAACTTCCACTAATAAAACCAAGCATTCAGTACATTAATTCTACAGCCCATCGGGTGTATTTTAAACATATGGACTGAGCAGCTTGTCTGGTTCTGGATGGATCATTTTTCATTTCTTCAGTAAGACATTTGGCTTTGAGGAAATCATTAGAGAAAATGATAGAGCAATAAAAACATATTAATGGTAAGTAGCAATAAAACACCACTTTTCTAGCTCCAATTGCTTTACAAATGTGAGCTAATTCTTCCTAAGGATACATATTTGAGGTAAGACAGCAGTTATTCGAAAGCTAGCTTTACAAATAAAGGAACTGACGGAATAAAGTGATGTACTGCAGGTCACAGTGAGATTTGATGAGGACTATCACGTTGAAACGCTGGAGCCCCCCCTTATCCACCAGAAATCATCTCTTCTGCCTTCCCTCAATGAGAAGGACAAGTAAAATCCAGCTAACTTGTTCCTGGGTCATGCAAGCAGGTCTTCTGCACAGATTTAGAGATTTTTAGGATAGAAAATTTCACCTCTGTGAGAATATTAGCCTAACAGCACCTGATCAGCCCTGACTCACTGCACGACACTGCAACTCCTGCACAACACACGAAATCCCATGCTGTGAGCTGCTTCTGTGGAAATAAACAGTTGTGCATACCAGAGGAGGAAAAGAGCACCTGAACCCCCAACTTGCATTGGTGATTACGATCTGTCTAAATAATTGGGATCAAAGTCCGCATTAGTGTAGAGACACATGCACACAAACACAGCATATTGGTATTACTAGCTCCAACATGTTTTGGTTATATTCTCAACTTCATCGTTAAAGAATATTTTCATGTCAGTGTTAGGACTAAAACTATTTTAATTTTAGCACGTTTTCTTATTATATTTATTCTCTTTCTAATGCTCTCAGAAACATTCCAATACAACATTACTGTAGGAGAACCGGGTTTAAATACGATTCAGATACACACACCAATAGAAGCACTTGGATGGTGATCTCTGCTAAAATAAGAATGAGAATTGCCTTTCAGCTACTAGAAATTTCAAACCTACTATTATATGCAGAGAAATAGACAGCTATTCATCTATCCACAGGCCTTTAAAGGGATGAGTAACAAAGAGACTGACCCTGTAGCTCCATACTGCATGCATATAGTGGACACGCTGCTTTGGACACCACAGAAAGTAAAAAAAGAAATAAAATGACTGTTTAGTGTGATGGTCCAGATGCATTCTCAGTCTCAGAAACTCTCTAAGTCACTGGTTACTAGAGATAGATGAAGAAGGGATCACTCTGCTTTCATCCTTAAGCTTCTATTACAGCACAGTCATGGACTGGATGCTGAGCCACATGGTCTGAACATATTTATATTATGTCAAGAAAAAAAAGGAAAAAAAATCCCAATTTCTCTGATGATCCCAGGTAACAAACAGCTAAATAGCAGCTAAAAGCTACAAAACTCTCTATTTTCCACTCTGCAAGAGAAAGAAACTAATTCTTGAACATAGTGTATGGTGTAGAGAATGTGGTTTGGAAGCATTTATTTACCATCTCTTCCTACACAAGAGATATGAAGCATTAGAAAACATTAGTGACAGGTTTGAAAATTAAAATGTGGTTCTTCTCACAGTATGTAGTTAAGTTTGGAAATTCCTTGCTAAAGGATGTTGCAAATGCTACAAGTTTACATGAAATTCAAAAAGCAACTAAACATCACAGGAGAGAAAATTATTGTAAGCAGTTAAATATAAAGTCATCACTCCTGGAAATTCATGTGACAGAAATGCTTCAAAGTCAGGAGACTGTTTTGGGGATGCAACACTAGACACCTGCCCTGTCTTACACTTTTCCGTAATAAGCCACTGTTGACTACTGGGCTCAAAGGTACTTTGCCTTAAGAGATACGGTCATCCTTTTATTACAGTCTCCAGATCCAAAAAGAGGGGAACTGTCACAGAAAGTAGACAGAAATAGACCATTTTGTTCCACTGCACTCCGTAAGATTTTGAGAAAGACTTTCCAGGTCCTCTTCCCTGGCACTGATTTCTGCATATAGTACTTTTGCAGTACAGCAGTAAAATCATGCCTGGGGAGGCAAAGAGAACTGAAGCCTAGAAGTATAAGCTGTAACTGCATTAGCAAGTAACATGTACGAGTGGGAGTACAGACTCCGCTGGTACTGAGGACACAATACACAAGGATGTTCAGAGACTTTTACTTTGGACTAGCTGTAGCATGGCCCTGTGGACCGAGTGTCCATTAGTAGCTGCAGAGTGTTAGAACAGTTCCTTTCATGTAAGTTTAGTCTAAAAGGAATTCAGTTCATTTGCTGCAAGACTGCTTCATGTGTGAACCATGGAAAGTAATGACAATCAGGAAAATTCCTTCAAACTGCACTTCTGATCTAAGGTGAAACACTGACACAGACCTCTGTTCTCCAGCTCTTAGGAAGGATCAGCCGTGGCACAGAAGGCACATAAAATATAAAGCCATGCTAAGGATGTTGGGGAGCATTAATTCCTTTTCACTGGCTTATGATGTGAAGCATGAGATAGAAATAAACATTTAGGATATACCTACTTTCCTTACTCAAATTATTATTAGTGATCATTAAAGTATTTAACTATCCAAATCCAGCCACAGAATAAGACTAATATTACACAACAGTGAGATCTACCAGAATCATTAGGTATTCCATGAATAATAGGTTCTTTAATTGCTTTAAATTTACTGCAGTTCCATTTCAATGATAGTTCCCTTTTTCTTGCATGACAAGAGAATATAAAAGATGGTTCTCATGGAGGTATAAGAAATGTAACAGCGGAGCATGAGTCAGACAAGTATTGTGCTGAAATAGGAGACTGTTTGCCCAACAAATATAATGGGATTTTTTTTTCTTGTTATCATTTTCCCCTAATCTTTTCTGTTTCTTGACACAGAAAAACTGTACTACAATACAATTCTTATTTAAGGGGAAAACTGTGATTTCCTCTGAACTTCAGGACTGACAGGAATGTTAGGATGGACTGGTCACTTTGGCCACGTGAATGTACCCAGCACAGGTTTTGATATGATAGGCAGCAAGTAGTCCCACTGCAAAAATCAACTCCCAGTATCTCTAGGGAAGATCTAGGCCAAATTGGCCTAGGAAGAAGGCAGTATCACTGCAGAATCATACCATAAGAACACTGCATGTGAAGTGCCCTGCTGCACTGCTCATACACTACTTGCTATAAAAAGGCATCATATTTTAATTACATGTCTTGTTGCAGCTGGTAGCTGGTGATCTACATCAGTATCCAGATACAAATCTGATTTTCCCCTGACTTAAGTGCTGTACCATGGAGATGAGACACAGTCTTTCTTACTAGTTGATGTTAAGAGGGAGGAAAAAGCATAATTAGTGCTAGAGAAAGGACATTAATCCCTTGTGTTAATTTAATTTTTAAATATCAACAGATTTCAGGGGTTCATAATATGTCAGAAGAAAGGTCTTCAGTAGCTAAGGTACTTATTTTATAGCTTTTTAGAAATAAACTTTTACAATCTACGCAGCAGAATAAATATGAAACAGTCTCACAAATCTTAGAGTCTGCCAGGGCAGAAAGAAAGCAAGAGTCTTTCTTTTTCCAGAAGCTAGAAAAATAGGCCACCACAAGTTTGGCACAGGGGACAGCAGTACAAAAATGCCATATCAGCACAGGGTTAGCTTAATGAAGAAGGAAGCTCAAGGAGCCAGAGCCTTCCTCCTCCTCATTTTCATCAGCCAGTGCAGCACTACGTCTCAGGACACGCAATGTACTCATTCCTGCAGATGCAGCTGCCTTTTCTCTTCCCACATGTGAATCAGGGCTGATACCACTCAATGCATCAGGTTTGTCATCAGCCCTTAAGAAAGACCAAGTGTTTAAGACAGAAAAATTTCAGTGACTAGAAGGACCTACTGACTACACTGAATCCCTAAATGTCCAGCATCCTGCTTGTGCTGCACGGAAAAAATCTTACCTTTCCACACTGCTTACATTTCCCTTCCTGCCTCCGCCTGTGCACCCAGTGGTGTCGGACAAAGTTCTGCAAATGAAGGACAAAAAAAATACATTGTAAGAAGCAATGACAGCTTGCATTCAAAGGTACCATCTGTGTAAAACTAGTTTACAGACAAATAAAAGGTCTCTTCAGCCAATGCAACCATTTCTGGAGCAAAATGCAGCCGTCCCCATGGGAACCCCAGACACAACCAAAACTGCAGTAGGAATAAGGACAAGATAGTGTTCTTTAACCATATTGAAATATGTCTAGAACTACCTCTCAGCACTCTTCTACAAAAGGAAGAAAGTTCATTATGTGATGCAGAGAAAATCATCACCTAAATACAGAGCACAGACATGCCCAAACACTGCTGTGTTCAGCCACAATGCAGGGCAGTTGTGGTTTAGGGCCGGGACAAGGGCCCTGCTCCATCCTGCTTGGAAATAGAGCCTTAATACCCCCAAAATCCCAAGTCAATGCAGGAAAAGCGAAAGAAGGGAGGAGGGAACAGTCATTGAAGCAGTGTTTTCTCAAAACCATACAGGTCTTGAATGTTTGATTTTTTTATTTTATTTTTTTTTTTTTACTAACAAAAATCTTAGGACACTACAGTTACTTCTAAAAAAATGGGAAATGCAATTGGAAGAAAAGGGAAGCAGAGAAAATAAAAAAATATTTGTTCAGAAGTCAGGAAGAAAAAAAATAAATGCTACCACCCAGAAAAAAAAAGACAGACTAGCTGAATGAATGGAAAAAAGAGACAACAGAAAGATGAAAGGGTTTCTGTCAGTGTAAGTAATGGAGTGCTTCAGCTAGAATCCATTTCACATTTATTCTGGGGAGGAGAACATGTCCCACAGGGAACCAATACTATGTCTAAGACTACTCTGAATCTAAAAGCACTGCTGCAGCTCCACACCATGTGAATCAGCACACAAATAAAATGAAAAGCAATTGTAATTTGTCCATTACTTACTTCTCTTGGAGATCTGGAGCCTCCTTCTCGGAAAGTCGGTTTGCAGCGAAAATTAATCTAGCATTAAAATAAAGCTGTTAGAACTGAAAGTGAGCCGAAAGAGAATTTATTTCAATATGTTGATCTGGGCCAGACTTCCAAAATATTTATTATCTATTAAAATATCAGCTTTGCTAGCTGAACAAAGTAACTTACCTGGATACCAGAAAATCTCTTCTCATATGCCATAATAATTCTTCTTGCTAGATTTCTACACAGCCCTCATCTTCGCTAGTTCCATTATTGCCTGCTCAGTACAACTATTTAAATTGTCTCCTCCTTGCCTAGAAGGAAACTGCTTCATCTATTTTTTTTCTGAAGATCATTTGCAACCAAAGCATACTTGAAGCTGACGTCTCAAAAGTTAACAAGAGCTTGAAATCTAAATCTGTAAGAACTTTTTGCACATTCCAGCTCTAAGTTTTCATATACAAAATCTATGGGGAAATCTTCCTTCACATGAAGAATTGAGGAAATTACCCTAAACTTCTACCTTTTGCTTAGATCAGACTGCTTTTAGTCACCTCCCCAAACACAGACCACTTGGGGAGCATTGTACTGCTTCATGCAGCGGTGTTGCCTCCTTCAAAAGGGAGAGGAAAGAGAAAGAGGACAACAGTAGCATCCATAAACAGAAAACATTTTTAGGAAAGTGAAGAGAAAAAGCATTTAACAAACAAGGGAGTCCTACAAGAAAAACCCAAAATCTTTTAGAAAAGAAAAATCAATAGAAATAAGGACAGAGAGGGCATAGAAAGGAAAAAATATACTGAAAAGAGAGGCATGGGAAAAGGCCAAAGGATATATGAGGTAAGCATATACTAACTGCAACAGATTCAAGCTTAAGCTGACTAGTGTTCAATAAATCAAATGCTTAAGGATACCGCACACTTATGTTTTAGTCATGAAGGCAGAATGATTGAGTTTCCCCAAATTCAAATACAACCTTTCCCATAGAAATAAGTTCCTCCCTCCTTTAACAACAGTCTTTGAAATAATAGCTCAAGGGACAGGGAGATGGGAAAAAAATACTTAAGAAATAAAAGCCACAGCAATATTAGTCTTCCTCCATTGCTCCTCACCTGGAATTGCAATTCGCTGTTTCACTGTTGAGTCGTGGCAGGCTGGAAAGACCCCCATTCTACTCACAAGTTACAGCTTTTTCAGAAAGGCCCAAGCAAAAGAATTATGTACCAGTTTTAAACTCCATAGTGTTTAAAGAGAGATGCAGACTTTATAACAACCCTCTGCCAAGAGGTAAATTTCATGGTTGCCAGAATGGCATAAACAAGCCCAACAGAATGGGTTTTATTAAGTGCTCATTTGCTCCGGCTGGCAATGCCACCAGCTCACTGGGCTATGAGGAGTCAGCACTGCTGCTGATGAAGGAAGTCATGAAAAATTCACTGGTAACATTTTGTGCTAAAGTGTGTGCAAATGCTAATTTCACAGTGGGTAAGAGCATCGGGGGTGGAAATGGTACCTCTCCAACTTGGTATTATGGCAATCACTGTGACATTTGTCAACACAAGTCCAAATACTTGGAAAGGAAAAACACTTTCCAAAGGGTTGCTGCTATAAATTTGTTATGCATCAACTTCTCTTATGGAGAGCAACATTGCAAAACACATAAGAGTGAAAATGAAGCTCTAATGAAATCAATGGGAAAATTCCCACTTTCGTTTCTTTACGCATATCCTACCAAAAAAGAAAAACAGTGGGGGGAAATTTTGTCAACACATTAACATAATGAAGCACAATGAAGAAGAATCACTGATGGGAAGAGAACCGAGTGATAAATCTTAGATATCCTATAGGCACTTGGGGGTAAGGAGAGCTCGTTGAAGAAACCAAGAAGCAGGACAGATGCTCACAGAAATAATGGTGCTATAAAGAACAGGTTTGATGTTTTCCATTTTAAAAACAAGAACTTAATTTCTGAGATTCTGATGACAAAACAGTACAGTCTAGTAAACACAGTGAAAAATGTTCATAGTAACATCTTACGCTGTATTGCTCACAACAAATATATCTGTCATAAAATGAATTGTGCTGGGTTTAGTTGAAGAATTTTGAAAAGCCAATTTTGCGCATGAAAGGATACTGCATTTTCTAGCTTCAGTTTTCAATCTAGAAGTAGAGGGAAATTATTTTTTAATCATAAAAATTGTGAAAGCATTCTGAGAGTTTTTTTGGTGGTTTTTTTAATGACTCACAAGGTTTGAAGAAATAAATTTTTTAAAATAAGCTGGAAGGGCTACAAAGATGATCAAGGGAGTGGAGCATCTCCCTTATGAGGAGCGGCTGAGGGAGCTGGGTCTCTTTAGTTTGCAGAAGAGGAGACTGAGGGGAGACCTCATTCATGTTTATAAATATTTAAAGGGTGAGTGTCACGAGGATGGAGCCAGGCTCTTCTCGGTGACAAACAATGATAGGACAAGAGGTAATGGGCACAAGCTGGAACACAGGAGGTTCCACTTAAATTTGAGAAGAAACTTCTTCTCAGTGAGGGTGACAGAGCACTGGAACAGGCTGCCCAGAGAGGTTGTGGAGTCTCCTTCTCTGGAGACATTCAAAACCCGCCTGGACGCCTTCCTGTGCAACCTCATCTAGGCGTTCCTGCTCCAGCAGGGGGATTGGACTAGATGATCTTTTGAGGTCCCTTCCAGTCCCTAACATTCTGTGATTCTGTGATTCTGTGAATTTTAAGTCAACTTTTAAACAAATATATTGTCAAAACAGCTATAAGAACCTACTTTGGCTAACAGTGTTTTCCAGACTGAAACCTCAGTGAAAGAATTAAATGAGTGTAGTCCGCGTTAGGCTCCAGAAGATGGCAATGTCTCACCTTCTCTAGCTGCTCCATGCACGCATTGTGGACCACGATCTTGCAGGCAGCACACTTCCTCCGCAGAGCAGATTTCTGCAAGAGGAAAGGGAGACGGGCACGCATGGAGGTGTGCTATTCCCAGAAAGAAAAAATTAGCTGTGAAACAGGAGATATTTCTCTCCTTATGCAACATATTTTTGCCTCTCTTCATGCTCTCAATCGTTTTGTATATTGAAAAAGGTCTGAAGCTCTTCCAGTTAAGAATCAGCCTTCATGAAAGACAGAGCCACAGTACTCCAGCTTGTGAACCAGAAGTAAAAGGCTCCCTTTAGGTAGCAAGTGGGGCTCTTACAGTGTAGATCATCACTCTAAAAAGGAGCAGTCTACGAAGAGGATGAGCAGAGCCAGTGACAAGAGGAGAAAAACCATACATGCAAATCAGACAATTCAGACCAGTTCAGAAGACTGTCATTTCATGCTTATCATATAATATTTAATTTGATGTGCCTGACCATTGCCTTGCAGAAAAATACTTAGGTCATTTAGCAGAGAAGGATAATCTTCTCACAGAATGTTGTTAAATACTTATGAAATGTTAGACAAGGGATAAAATTCTCAGCCGAATTACACTGGTTGGTTTTATTAATTTCTGTAGGGCTTTTAAAACAATTTCCATTGAATCCCCTGGGCCAAAGCATATCAAAGGCAAGAGAATGCATCCAGAAAAGAGGATATATTTACTTTTTTCATGCATATACTCAATTTAATAAACCAGGTGGAATTAATTTTCATAGACGTTTAACTTATAGGCCTGTGCTTGAGGGACAGAAAATATATAAACACAGGGTAAATTGAGACTGATTTGCCTCAGATTTTTACATTGAGGTTATTCATGTTCATTTAAATGTCTGATAAATTATTTCATTAGAATTTTCAATATATTTTAAATAAACTCGAGAAGAAACAGGGAGCACAGCTTTGGTGCACATTATAGAATAATTATTGTAATTTTACTGAGTCTCATAATTATCTAGATATACCCTAACTGTGCATGTTCACATGTATGTGGAGTGTCATCCTAATGTTTCACCTGAAGAATCATGACATTGTATAACAGACTAAGCTTTTATGTGTTTTGTGACTTGTTAACTTTAAGTATGTTTTTAGTCTCTGTTTACCAAGAAGAGTGGAACAATATAAAAGAATCGATCCCTAAGATGAAAGACTGCAAAAAGTAAAGGTAACACCTTATGAACAGTTATTTTTTTAATATCTTGCTTTTTAAGTCATTCTCATGATTTTTGAATGCTTTTGTGGCACTGCAAGTAGTAGTTACAACCATTTATAGAGAGAGGCTAGTAAAAGTTCAGACTCTGTTTTCCATTACTTCTAATTCTTTGATTTATCATGAAATGTCAGCTCCATATTCCAGAGATCATAAGTCTGTGTAGCTACAGCTTAATTATTTCTCACCACTTGTCCATCGAAAACATTTTATCTTAACTAGTCCCCATGTAAAAGAGCTAAGTCAAAGGAAAACCAGGACAGGCATAGAAAGAGAATCATTGTCCTCAAAAGATTCAAACTGGAAAATCATTAGCCTTTACATAGAGCAGGTTAAACTAACCACAAGTAAAATTAACTGGATTTCCATTTCCATCCCTAGTCAATGAAAACATTGCAACTTGTTATAAACACAGATAGCACTTTCTCCAAAGGGAACCAATACACTGGTACCTAAAAGTACTCTCATCAGATCAAGCAAAGGCCAGGCAATTAAGAACTGATCAGCTTTAAACTCTGCTGCTCCCTAAACGCAACTCAACATCTCCAGGTCTATTGCCTGGAAAAGCATGTCACCATGTCAATGCCTCCCAACTTTCTCAGACAGAAGTGTAAGTCAGTGGGTCTAATTCACCATCTACTGCAACAGTCCTTCCAACTCCTAGAGAGATACACTTCTAAAGCTAAGACACAGCCTTGCAAATCATATGCAACATATTATTAAACTTCCATGTTACTTTCAACAAGCTACTTTCATGAAGTATTTACTTAGTTTTAGAAAGGCAAACTTCTATTAAAATCCTAATAATAGTCATACTGGGTCAGACAAAAGGTCGACTCAGACAAACAAATCCTATCTCCAGCTTTTGCCAAACCCCAGTGCCTCAGGACTAGTATAAATATAGGAAAAACACAGTGACAGTTCTGTTGAATATTACCCTATAATCAGCTCTGTTACTGTTGGGACTTTGTTTCAGTACTCTTTGTAAGCAGGCACAGACTTCCCAGGCTTGGCCTTTACATTATATGCCATAAAGTAATCAAGTTAGAAGTTAGGATGGATGAATATGAAATTGAAGCTATAGAAAGCACTAGGAATTTGGGTACCCAAAAAACTGAAGGTGATTAGTGAATCAAAATACTTCAATTCAGATGAAATTATCTGAGGTTTGGGTTGTGTTTTTGTGTTTGGGGTTTTTTTGGGATTGTTGTTGTTGTTTTGTGTTTTGTGGTTTGTTTGTTTGTTTTTGGTTTGGTTTGTTTTAATAAAATCAAAACTATGTACTGGAAAGCGTCACAGACTGTATTCTACAAGCACTTCAGAGAAGACAGACTCCCCTTACATTTTGCAGTCAAAGCAAGGGCTTCAACACAAGATTCCCACTCTCTCACCAGGTTTCCTAAATACCAAGACAATAGGGTTGGGTGGGTTAGCGTTTTTTCCCCTTCTCTTCTGCTGAAGAAGTTTCACTGAAATACTAGGTGAAGAGTTGCTGAAGCAGACTGGAAATATAACAGGGACTCCCCAGTCAAAGAAGAGACACACATGGGGTTAGAGATCAGTCTGATTAAACTTTTTAGTACAGAGCAGAAAAAACTTCAGTAGGAAAAGGCAAATGTCGAACATTCTCAAATAGGAGAAGGCAAACACTCAAATACGAGTGCACTCACTGCTTGTGAGTGCATTCAAGAGTTTGGAAAATTAAGTTCAAATCCTTGCAGTGATTAAATTCACAAAAATTTGATTAGATCCTACTCTCAGAGACCCCGGCAACTGATACAGAATCACAGATTCATTTCAGTTGGAAAGGACTTTTGAGTCCAACCGTTAACCGAATGCTGTCAAGTCCACCACTAAACCATGCCCCTAAGAATCCCATCTACACATCTTCTGAATACCTCCAGGGATGGTGACTCCACCCTAGGCAGCCTGTTTCAATGTTAGAAAAACCTTTCACTGAATAAATTTTTCCTAATATCCAATCTAAACCTCCCCTGGTGCAACTTGAGGCCATTTCCTCTCATCCTATTGCTTATTACTTGGGAGAAGAGATCAACCACCACCTTGCTACAACCCTTCAGGTAGTTGTAAAGCCATAAAGTCTCCCCTGAGCCTTCTTTTCTCCAGACTGAACCCCAGTTCCCTCAGCTGCTCCCCATAAAACTTGTGGTCTAGATCCTTCACCAGCTTTGCTGCCCTTCTCTGGACATGCTCCAGTGCTTCAATGTCCTTCTTGTAGTGAGGGACCCAAAACTGAACACAGTATTCGACATGTGACCTCACCAGTGCTGAGTACAGAGGCAAAATCACTTCCCTGCTCCTGATGGCCACACTATTTCTGATATAGACCAGGATGCTGTTGGCCTTCTTGGCTGCCTGGGCGCACTGTTGGCTCCTGTTCAGTCGGCTGTCAACCAGCACCCCAGGTCTTCTTCTGACAGTCAGCTTTCCAGCCACCCTTCCCCAGTCCTTTAGTGTTGCACAGGGTTGTTGTGACTCAAGTACAGGACCTGGCACTTGGCTTTCTTGAATCTCATACAGTTGGCCTCAGCCCATCAACCCAGCCTATATATTTGAGTATATAAATAAAATAGGCTACTTTCTTTGAACATATCTGAAATATCTCAATATTCTAACCTTTTTTCCCTTACCATGTTAATAAAGTTACTCATTACATCCATTCTCACTATGTAAATAACCGGGGTCACTCAAAATTTTTTATTGCTTGGGAAAAAAGCCCTGAGGTATTTAACCAGCAGCCTTTTGCCCCTTTTGCATTCCTTCTCCTGGAACACAAGCAGCAACAGCAACAGCAAACAATTCAACCTCCCACATTGTATCAGTCAGAAGTCAAGCTTGCTACCTCAGAAAGAGAGAAGTAAGTCTGAAAATAACTCACTGAGAATTTGACTTGGCAGCTTTCCTCTCCCAGGTAGCAGAGGTCCCCAGAAACATTTGTCTCCAGCCACAGATGCTCTCCGTTCACAGCATTTTCCTAAGAAAATATGATTGTTAATCTGGTTTGTGAAATTCAGCCACCTCAGTATAGACAAAAAAAAAAGAGATTTGATTTTCACCACAGATTTAGAAAAAGAAAAAAAACCCAAAACCAAACAACCACATGTTGTTTTGTTTTTCTACAGCACAGTGTCATAACAACATTACGTTGGCTGACCACCCCTGCCTAAAGGATGCTGATGAGACGATGAATGATGTGTCACCAATCAGAACCAAAAGTATTTTTGTGTAAAGTTCAGTGAAACTTTACCCATGTTCTTCTTACATGCTGCATAGTTTAACTGAGACTCTAGATTTCATAAACATGAGGTGCATACAAAATTTTAAAGAAACAAATTCAAGAGACAAAACAAAAGCATGACTGCTGAACTTTTAATTGGCGAAGCCTAAAAATTTGATAACTGGGCCCAGAAGTGCAAAATTACATACTGACTATAGCTTTACGATGACAGGATAGTTTAGACACTGAAAAATGCTTTCTTTAAAATGGCTGGATCAACACTGTATGTTTATGAAAACATCAACAAAACATTAAGTGGCCAGGAGAGACCACTTCAATTTATACCTGAAAGAATGATACATTCAACTAAGAACACTTTCAAAAAAATAAAATCTACCTAGCACGCTGACAATTAGTAGTGATTAACAGGGTAACATCTGATTTTTATTTGCCAGCATCATCTGACCAAATCTGTATCTTAATGCTATAAAGATTCTTGTTCTGAGGAAATCT